TCTCTGAGTCTGACATTAGATTGTCTGCCACTGTGGTTTGCCATAGTAATGAGAATTTTCATTTTTGCCTCACATTTTGAAAGTGAGAAAATGGGACAGGTTGCAAGCAGGGCTGTCAGCCAGGCATGAGACTGGGCTAGAAGTCCAGCAACGTTTTTCATGAGAGAATGGAAACATTCTGTCTGTGGTTTAGGGATATACTCTGGCAACAATATGAGAATATATTTAAAATGCTCACTAAAAGGAACAGATATGGAATATAGATTTATTTAGGAAGACACTAGTTGTTGAAAAATCCCTTCCTCATTTCCCATAATATTTCTGAAGCTCCTCATCAGTGTGAGGAGATGTCATTGTCATCCAGGGAGAGCATGCTATTGTATTTTTTCTTAAAAGGGATCTTTTCTATGTCACTTGCTATGTTTCTAAAGCCCTGAACAATCTAGCATATTACCCTTCTGCCTTCTAACATACAAGAAAGGAGACACTGGTAAAAAATTACTCTGTCATCATTAGCTTCTGATGGAAAAGAGAGGAAGAAGCTCCCTTCCCACCCCTACTTCTTGAGGTATATAGCATACACATATGCACATGCATGTATGCATGTGTGCTGAGAGTGTTGGCCATCCTAGGGACTCTCTGACAGCAGACAGATTACTATTCTGTCCTTGGCTTATATATATTGCACAGACAGCTAGTAGGTATTCATTGCTCATTCCTGACATCGTGTTTTAGTTTGTGTCAGTGTAACAAAATACCTGAGTCTGTGTGGTTTGCTAAGAAAGGAATCTTGTTGTAGCTCAAATTTCTAGAGGTAAGACCATGCTACCTCATCTGGCAATGGCCTTATGTTGCGTCACAACATGGAAGAATGGCCTTGCATTGTGGGAACACATGTGGCAGGACAAAGAGGAAGAGGTCACATGACAAGAGAGGAAAAACCTAGGGAAGGGCCAGGCTTACTCTTTGACAATGTGCTCTTGTAACATTAGATCCACTTCTGAAAGCCCTAAGCCATTCTATGAGACAAATATTATTCATTTCACGTGGGGGGGGTTCATTTCTTCCATCTTCCATGATACCATATCTCTTAATAATCATATTACCTACTATTGCCATTACACTGTGGTGTAAACTTCCAGAAAATGAATCTTTGGGGAACATAGTATTGTCAGCACAAAAAACCACAAGCACCCTTAAGGGGGAATAACAGACAGTTTATTCTGGAGCCAAATGTGAGTGGCAGTGGCCTAGGAACATAGGTTTAGATAATTCCAATATTATGTTTCAACGTGGAAGCAATTTCATGAAGCATTTATGGTAACAGATCAAGTCACTTTTAAAGTATGTTCATGGAAGTTTTAAGAAGGTGGTACAGCAAATGCAGAGAAGCATGTGCTATAGGCCTCAGGAGCTATGTGATGGTGTCCTTAGCCTTTTGGTTGGTGGAAACTAGGATTTTGTAAACATATTCTGAAGATTTTTACCTGCTAGTGATAGACTAGCAGCAGAAAGGTGGGCAAGAAATCACTATTTAAGGGCTAAGGATGGTCCATGATAAATTGCAGGCTGTGGACCTGCAACATTTCAACTCACCCACATCATTGAAGTCCTAATCAGTCAATCGCTCTTGCAGATGGTTCATCTTCTTTCATAGTATCAGAGCCCCCAAACCAAGTTACATATAGAGCAAGCAAGTCCCATCCTTGTCCCCCTCTCCAGGCCCTGACATTGAACACCTTCTCATTTAGCAGGCTGGATTGGTAAAAATAGGCTCTGAGAGTTTTGTTCAAGTCAGTACTCTGTCCTTTGTGCCCACTAGATATTTTGTGGATGTAACTTGAGTTTTGCATTCTTACGTGTGATGTGAGCAAGGCTATGTGAGGTGTTCAGATCTCAGCTCCATTCTACAGACAAGAAGAGCTTAAATGTATGTCATCTGTGCAGAGGTTGGGTGCTAGATCCTAGTATCTTCCACTCTGTATTTCCTGGGCCTCAGATGCTTCTCCTCTGGATCACAGACCAGAAACATGGAGGTTCAGCAGAGTCCCCTAGCTATCTTGTTCTATTCTAATCATTCTGCCAAATTTAAAACTCCTTGGTCTTAAGTCCACACATTCTCATAATAATGAGAATAGTTTCTGATGATGCCAGTGATGGAGCCCAGTCACCCACAGCTCTCTAGCAAAGGGGTCTCAAGTGATTCCGGGTGATTTGTTGTCCTTGACATAGATGGCATATGTGGGTGTGTGTATTGGCTTCTTTTCTATTGCTGTGACAAAATATGACACAAAACAGTTTAAGGAAGAGAGGTTTGTTTTGGATTATAGTTACAGAGGGCATGTAGTCCGTCATGGCAGGAAAGGCCTGACAGCAGGAATGTGAGGCTGCCATAATAATCGCAAAACTGACTGACCATATTTCATATACACAAGGAAGTAGAGAGGGAGAAAACAGGAAGTGGAGGCCGGCTACAAACCATCAGCCCCAGTGATTTCCTTCTTCCAGCAAGTCTCTACCTACTAAAGAGTCCATAACCCTCCTACAAAGTCCCACCTGGTCCCACAGCTGTTTACTTCCAAATAAACATACAGAGGCTTATATTAATTATAACCTTCTTGGCCAATGACTCGGAATGCTTATTTGGCTCTCTCTTAATTATTAACCCATTTCTATTAATCTATGTATTTCTACTTGGTCTTTGATTACTGGAAAATGACTAGGCATTCTCCCTTCCAAGTGGCTACATGGTGTTTTGCTCAAGACCCACTCTCTCAGTTCCTTTTCCCAGAATTCTCCTTACAGCCTATACTCCCTGCCTAGCTACTGTCCATTGGCCGAAACAGCTATATTCGTTAACCAATAAGAGAAACATATATTTACAGCATGCAGAAGGACATCCCCCATCACAAGGTATTGCCAGCTGGTGACCAAATGATCAAATAGGTGAGCCTAAAAGGGATATTCTCATTCAAACTACCACAGTCTAAAATGTCTGTAGTATTTCATAGTGACCCTAAGCTATAACTTTCATGTGTGCAGTGGAGCTGTGTATATACCATATAGTGACAGCACAGCCAAGAGGTACAACGTGGTCACTGGAGTGTTGGCAAGAGTAAGTTATTGAAGAAATGTTTTGCTGTTTTATTGAAAAAAACTAGTTTTTACACTTCGTTTATTTTAACATTATCTTATAATTTAATATGTGCTCATAATTACTACAAATATTTTAATTTTATTATTTTTATGACAGGTTCTCATTATGTAGCCCAGGCTAGCCTCAAGTCTCTGATTCAGCATTCTCAATCCACTGAGTGTTAGGCATACATTACCTCACCTGCTACTCTTAATTTTTATTTTAAAGTGATAAAATCTGTGAATATTGGCGAGCCCTTCAGAGGTCCTCTATATTATTTGACAATCTTACTGGGCCAGAGAAGTCTTTGTTCTGATAATGAATGGAAAGGCAGTGTCTGCAATTGATACACACAATTTCCTGGGTAAGACAGATGTCCTAAAAAGATGTCTCAGTACTGGCACTCCTGTCTGCCAGGTCAGGGTCTGTCGCTGACTGTTACCCCATTTCTACTGCCGAGTCACACTGTGATTTTTCTAAACAAGTGGGATGCTGGGATGCCTGCTGGACTTTGGGGTTTGTCTCTTTGGGGGGTATGGACAGTGGGAACAGCAGCAGGTGGAGTTCTGTGCCTTGTTCATAAACTTTCTGGATCTTAGGGGGTCCTCATTTGGATCCTTTACTTTCCAAACCCACCCTCAGAAGACCAAGTCCTCATCCTTACTGATATGTCTCCTTCATCTAACCTTCCTTCAGGAACAGAATCTGAGAAATCACTCATAGTGAAATGTGTGCAACTGGGAACACTTGCTGCATGTCCTCATCCTGGAAGTTCTGAATCTGAGCCAAATAGATGTGCCCTGTCAGCTAGGATTCCTAACAGTGGCAAGGTGACAGGAGAGAGAATGTGTCCTGGAAACTAAGCATGTCAAGGATGGGACACTGGAGTTCTTTACCCCTAAGAGAAGACTTGTTCCCAGGGCAACAGCTGTGAAATTCAGAGTAAAAGCTGCCTCTGACACTTTAATGCCCATGCAGAGTAAGCCAAGAGATTGCCAAATAAGACTTGGATTATCCAGACACAGAACACACCATGTGGTCCTTAAACTGGGTACTCTAGGCCAAGAGTGGGGATCCCAGTATATGCATAGTGTGGAAAGGGATAGAATTGCCTCTTTTAGGCATTTGCAAGGAGCAGAGGTGAAGGCAGAGGTGTCCTGGGAAATTACAACATTCTAACTTCTCTAGGAGTTATAAGGCTGACATAGTGGTAAGTACCTTTCTTTATGACTTAGTATTTTGTCCTCATGAAAAAGTAATCGCTTTCTTCATAGATGAGGTAGCTGAAGCAGAAAGAATTAAGTAATTCATTTGCAATGTCTTTTAACAGAAACCAGGAGAGGCAGGATCAGAACCTAGAAAGTCTCTGGAATTTCCTCCTCATCCTCTTCCTCCTCCTCCTTCTCCTCCCCCTCCTCCTCTTCCTCCTCCTCTTCCTCCTCCTTCCTCTTCCTCCTCCCCCTTCTTCCTAGGCAAAAGCTAGAGTAGAAATGAGTGGTACCACCTATGGATCCATGAGGGCCCATAATGTTTCCCTCATTTCATTGGGTTTTAGCCATGCAACTGTCAGTGGGTGGATGCCAGTGCCTCCGTCATGGTTATCTTTTGGGCCAAGTCACAAGGCTGTCCACCATGGAGTAGAAACTGTCACCTCTAGTGTGCTCTGCACCTAGTGGGCACACAGGCACAGGCTGTCTGTCCAATGTAGATGAAGCAGAGTCTCTGTGATCAAGTCTGTACATTTCCAATCTGGAGAATTCCACCAGGCCATCACCAAGGTTACTTACTCTTCTGTCTTTGAATTTAATGGGCACAATTGCACTCATGCTGATTTTGCCCTCACTCGGTTTTCTTTTCACGGCAGGGTACCCCAGGGTTATATCAACAAAAGCCCTCCATAGTGAACCAGGAGCTTCTCTTCTGGGGTGCTTCCACCAGAGAAAGCCTTCCCACATGGTGACCCTAAAATCTGGATGTCTCTTGGCTACAATGTAAGTATCCTATATTTTGGAATATACCAGAGGTGACGTTTATGGTGTCTACCATAGCAAGCAAGTTCTAACTGCCATTAGTCCGTGACTAGGCTTTATGATATATGCTGCCAGGATTCTCTAACTCTCTTAGATGTTTTTTATGCCTGGGCTACTTTATGACCCACTTGGGCCTGACTGGCTGTGAAAAGATTTCTTCGGGTGAAGTTTCTGGAACCATATTACCATCTGCAAACTTCAAGAGGGTGCTCAGTTGGGTTAGCATTGCCTTTTACATGCTTTCCTGGTGTTCATTCTTTATCTGATGGCTCTCAAGCTGTCCAAATTCAGAGACGATATCTGTGCTCTATTCTAAGGCATCAGCCAGACAGAGGAGGGCCTGCCACACACAGAATACCTGCTCTGACAGCCAGGATCCATTATACACTTCCCTCCACCAGACATCCTTGGCTGATCTTCCTGCAGGTAGAGGGAGCACAATATTGCATGTCATTTGTGTTATTCTGAGTACACATCTTCCTTTAAATAGTAACAGCAGGGGGGCAGGGCAGGGTAAAGCTTCTATTCTGCTGGGCAGAGAAGGAAGGTTGGGAGCCTGGCACAGTTTCTCATAGGTGTGCATGATGGTCTCCTGCATTTGAAGTAACAATAATCTTCCTCCACTGGGCTCCTAGTGTCCATTTCACTCCTCAATGCATGCCTGGAGGTACAGGGAGACCTGCCTATGCAGATCAAGCCTGAAACTTGATCTATTTCATTCCTTAGGTTTGTCATTAACTGTAGGCAGAGCCTGGAATGGATAATCCTGAGGATCTCACCAGGTAAGACTTGGAAGGATCAGCTTGGAGCTCACAGCCCAGCTGTGATAATGATATTCCTTCTCTCAAGTTCATCTTCCAGATGACTCTTACCTTTGGTAACTCAGGGAGTCTTGTGGGTGCTCTGCTGTGTGCTGTCAGGTCCTTTAATGGCAGTAGATCTCAACCTGTGGTTTGTGACCCCTTTGGGGGTCAAACAACCTTTCACAAGGGTTGCATATCAGATATTTACATTATGATTCATCACAGCAGAAAAATTATAGTTATGAAGTAGAAATGAGAATAATTTTATCGCTTGGGGTCCCACCACATGAGGAACTGTACTAAAGGTTGCTGAGTTAGGATGCTTGAGAACAACTGTTCTGTGGAGTACTTTTATGGCCCTTTCTGAAGAGTGCCACCATTGGTTTGACTTGTTATTAACACATGTTCTAATATGCTCACCTAGATTTTCATAACCATAGCTAAGTAAGGACACACTGCTTAAATTCCAGCAGTATAGTTGCTTGTTGTGAGCCACACTTCATGTTTATTCTGTCTCATTGTGGCTTCCTTTTTCTTAATCTTGGCTACTGATGGAGCTATACTTGACCAATGGAGTGAAGCAGAAAAGACACCTCAAAAATTTCACAGCCTGGGTCACAGGACTGCTTGCAGCATCTACTTGGTATGCTTAGAACACATATCCACCCAGCAAGGAAGCTGTAGAAAGAACCAATCAAGAGGGCTTAAGGGGTGTATCTGGCTGTCTTTGCTAAGCTCCCAGTATCACTGGACAAAGATGGGCAATTATGTCAGGTCTTTTTTAAAATTTTGACTCTCAGAAGCACAAGAGGCAACAAAACCAGCCACAAGCATGGGGAATATGTCGTTGCAATAATGCCTGGAACTAGAGAATTTTAACATTCCCTGAATGCATCCAGTGACTCTTGCAGCTACTCTAGTGGCCTGTATGTGGTGGACCATTTAATTTTGGTCCCGGTTCTTGAGTTACCCAGAATAATGATGGCCAGCTTCCTGGACAATGGGGAGATTTCCTATTTCCTAGTTACAGAGTGTGCTGGTTTATCTGAGAATCTAATTAAGCGATTGACCAGCAACCTCCGATTCCCTGTGAAGGAGGGAATCCCTCATCTTTAACTCTTGCATGTGCTCCCTTATTATGTGGTACAGAGCTTCAGCAGCTATCTCTGCCCCGTTTACAGCCCATTCTCCATATCTGATGTGAAGAAATTTTTCTCCCTACTTGTGCAAATTATTCATTTTTTAAATTTCTAATTTAGACTTGGTCTAAAACAAGCTCCAAAGGAGGAATCCTGGAGACTGCTCAGTCTAGCATTTTATCTTGAATTTACCATCTTCTGTCTAGGATATTTTGAGGGCATTTCCCCGATATGATAGGACTATGCTAGCAAAATCATGAATATGTTAGTGGATTTTAAAAGATGCAGAATCATTCAGAAACCTAAGATTACTAAATTCACAGTTGTAGTCTATGTTGGCAACAGGGTGGATCTGACAATTGAATTTCTGTTCAGTATGGAGGCTGGTGTGTTTATTATGGCCATTAAACCCTGGCTGTGATGCTTATTACCAATCATCAGAGATGTCCTCAAAGCCCCACCACTCACCACCTTAACACCCCAGACAGCAACTTCTGGGGACAGGCGGTTCACATGAATCACCAGATAATATACAGAGAGGTATTTTTTCTCCTGTTTAGATTTTAATAAAACTAGCAGATGGAAAGCAAGCTCTATCATTTGGCATGGGAGTCAGTGTATTGAAATACAGCCTTTTGACAGACACGCAGATGAACATAAGGCTACCAGGAAAAGTAAATGAAGAAAAACAATTATGAAAAGAAGGAAATCATCGACCTTAGTGAGATGGTTGCTTGAGCTCATTGAGAGACAAATAAAAGAATTTTCTCAGGAGTAATTAACTCTAGCCCCAGAATCCACATGTGGGGCATTGGATCTTGAGCTTAAACATGTCTCTTCTTAGGTTGTCCATACCATTGTTTAAAGCAGCCCCGATGCCCCCGTAGTCTGCCTTAGCCCATTCCAAGGAAAACGTCCTTAACTTTGTCAATCACCAGAGCATTTTATAGGCTGTCACTGTCATTCTGTGTACACTGAAGTCACCATACTATTAGAGCTAACTGCATACCAATTATATTATCACCTACTTCACTAAATGTACTTGGAGTCTGAGAAGAACATTTTGGTTACAGTGTGAATAAATGATGCAAAGACACAACAACAGGAAACAAAACCTAGCGTATAGAAAAGCTGAGCAGGCCTTTGTAAGGCTTCAGTCTAGCATCTGTAGTCAGATGATTCAGTGAGTTTTACTTAATACCATACATTAGACTTCTGCTCTGTGCCAAGGGCAGAGAGAGATGGTAACAAAGAATGGAAACAATGAAGGGATTTTTAAATAGAAGAAATGAAAACAAATAAATTGTGAAAACTGAACTGCATGAAGAAATACAAATCAACTGGAACTAAGGTGATGAAATGGAGAGCAGTCTATGTGGTGGCTGTTGGAAAAATGCTGATGCCCAGGCTCTGCCCTCCCTCGGGGATTGTGACTGAGCCAGCTGTACAGGTTAGATCCCAGTGCCCTTGGCAAATTCCCTGCAAATTCTAGTGAGCAGTGGGCATTAGGAGGGCTGTGTGGTGGGGTCTTAGTCATTATTTCCAGCTAGCTGAGACATGGGGAGCATATGGCCTCAAGAAGTCTGAGCTCAAAGGACTGTGACAGAGAAGGAAAGCTAAACTCACACAGACCCTGTGCTACCATAGGCACCGTATGCACATCGTGTGTTACCCATATGCATCATCTCATTGTTTATCAGCCCTGATGCTTAAGAAAGTTGAGTTGGTCCATTTGCCTGTGAATTTCAAGATTCCATTGTTTTCTTCTGCTGAGTAGTACTCCATTGTAGAAATGTACCATATTTTCTGAATCCATTCTTCAGTTAACCATTCTGAGCAAGGTAACCCAGTCACAAAAAGACAAGCATGGAAGATACTCACTCACATATGGATTCTAGACATAGAACAAAGGATTACCAGACTACAGTCCACACCACCAGAGAAGCTAGGAAACAAGGAGGACCCTAAGAGAGACATATATGGTCCCCTGGGGAAGGGGAAAGAGACAAGATCTCTTGAGCAAATTGGGAGCACTAGGGGATGGGAGGGGAAGCTAGGAGAATGTGAAGGGGAGAAGAGGAGGGAAGAAGAGGTCAAGGGAGAGCAGAAAAGTTTAGTCTGGGGAAGAATAGAGGAGAGCAAGAAAAGAGATACCATAATAGAGGGAGCCATTATAGGTTTAAAGAGAAATCAGGCACTAGGGAAATGACCAGAGATCTAAAAGGAGGACACCAAATAACAATATAAGCAACAGTGGAGAGGGTACCTTAAATGCTCTCCCCTGATAATGAGATGGATGTCTACCTTATATACCATCCAGCAGCTGGTAGAAGTAGAAGCAGACACCCACAGCTAAACACTGAACTGAACTGAAATCCAGTTGTGGAGAAGGAGTGATGAGCAAAGGGGTCAAGATCAGGCTGGTGAAACCCACAGAAACAGATGACCTGAACAAGGGGGAGCTCATGGTTCCTAGACTGATAGCTGGGAAACCAATATAGGACTGACCCAGACCCCATGAACATGGATTTCAGTGAGGAGGTCTCGGAAATCTATGGGGCCTCTTGTAGTGGATCAGTATTTATCCCTAGCATAGGAATGGACTTGGGGAGTCCATTCAATATGGAGGGATACTCCATGAGCCTAGACACAAGGGGGTGGGCCCAGGCCCTATGCCAAAGGATATGACAGACTCTGAAGACCCCCTATGGATGGCCTCACCCTCCCTGGGAAGCAGAAAGGGTATGGGAGGTAGGGTGTTAGTTGAGAGGCAGGGGAGGAGCAGAGGAAGAGGGACCTGTGATTGACATGTAAAATAATCTTGTTTTTAACTTAAATTTTTTAAAAAATTGGGAAAAATAAAAAAAAGAAAGTTGAGTTGGGAGCACTGAAGAAATACTGAGGTTTTATTAAGTAAATTAGAATTTTTAGTGTTGATATTGAACATACAGGTGTGTGTACATATGTGTTCTGTGTATATATGTGTCCATTTTATATATGTGTATGTGTATATGTTAGTGCATGTGTATATTTAGATATGTGTTTGTGTGTATGTGTTTGTGTGTGCATGTACATGTGTGTATGTATATGTTTGTATGTGTGTATCTTGTATGAATGTGTGTGTGTGTGTGTGTGTGTGTGTGTGTGTGTGGGTGTGTGTT